AAAACTAACCAGAGAAGCCGCCGCGTGGAATGAAAGGTGAGGGGCCAGGGAGGACCTGGAGTGGGTAGAAGTGAGAATCAGTTTCTAAGGAGCTGGAAGTGCTGATCATAGGCTGGCTTGTGGCTCTTCAGATCATCGTCTAAGAGCCATTGAACATCTAGCCGGGAACGTCATGTTCAGATTTCTGTTTGCTCAGGGTCAGTCTAAATTAGACATTGAACTTTGCCTTAGGCCAGCTGTTAGGAATGGTCAGCCAAGACAAAGGAGACCTAGGGTTCATCTGACCTGCCTGTCACTCATTCTCTGGAGAAACCTAAACTCAGAGCAGGCAAATAATTAATTCTAAGTGGCTGAGCTGGACTGGAGTCTTTTTTAAAAAAAATCTCCTCTTCAAGACTCCCCAAAATTCTGGGCAAAATCAGCTCTCAGCAGCTCTCAAGTCTGCTTCTGATCAAACAACCCCACAAAAGTGTGTACACAGACACAGACACACACACACACACAAAGAGGTGTGGGGAGGGAGAGGAAGAGGAAGAACATAAATTGCCTTCAAGGTTGCAAAAGGATGTGTTCACTGAACTTTCTATCCTGGGACCTGAGAAAAGTTGAACCCCTACTTAAATACCCATGACTATTAAAAACCATAATAAGGCCATGTACTGAGGGGGTGACCCAGTCAAGAGCTCCCATGAGAGCGGGCAGGGCAGAGGGCTGGACTCTGAACTGACACATCGAATCCCTTTTTAATTAACACGCAATACTGAGAAAGCAAGTTTAGAAGCTGGGAAGTAACTCAATCTTTGTAAAAACAAAAGGTGATAAAATACAGTTGTCCCAATATTTGGGTAGTTTAGACCCCCTCGGCAATTCTGGGAAGCAGGGAAATCAGTTCAGCCTTGGCTGGATCATTTAGCGTTTGGTTGAAACACATGATCCAGTAAGGAAGCCCTCATAGATGATGGAAACATGAAGATGAGATAGGTTTTTCAAGGAAGAAATGTGATCTTGCCGAGTGCTTGCTGAAACTGGGACAGACAACTAGAAAGAGGTGGTCAAGAGGCCAGAACCTAGTTTACCTGCTTATTAGTTCTGTGACCCTGCCAAGGCCACTTACTCTCTCTGGCCTTGTGTCTCAATGGCCAAGTTACAAAAATAACAAAGGTTTGTATATTGCATGAGGTCCTTTAGCAACTTTGTGTCAAGACTACAGTTAAGGGAATCCCAGCAAACATCAGGCCTGCTTTTTCCTGGCTGGGTGACTGAGATAAGTTTTAGACCCCAAAACTTTGACTCATGTGGAACACGAGGCTGCTGAACGCCTGGACTGAACAATCCAGGCAAAGCAAACCTGAGAACCGTGATCTTTCTCTTCTTCATGGATGTGACTACAAACTTACTAGTTTCTCAGCGCACATAACATTTAGCATGATATGATTTCATGGGTTGATAAATATTGAAAGAAAAACATAAGCAGAAGAAAGAGGACATTGTCCCTCTTTAAGTGATGGGATCTAAAGATAAGGACGCATGAGGACTCAAGGTCTCAACAGCCTTGCTCACAGGATTAACTCGTGCCAGCCTAGCTAAAAGATGGCCATATAGGGTTTTTTTTTTAATTTTTTTTAGGTGAAAAACACTAGCATTGATCAATGGCCTCCTGTCAGGTGGGAATAAGGTGTCTGGGGAGTGACTGAGAGTCGGTGATAATTTAGATCTTATCTAACATCTCCTAGGAGGGGCAGAGTAATCTCTAGTTAATAGAATCTGTAGAGACCCTCTGCAGCCCTCCAGGGAGTCCTCTAGTGGGAGAAACTAAAGGAGGAAGCCTAGAAATTATGCAAAGGATCTCAAAAACCATTCATTCACTTCTTCCAAAAAGGTTTGTTCCCTGTCCCAGGCCTTTGTGCTCTGTGTTTTCTCAGCCCAGTGAGGGACAAAGCAGCAAATCCGTACACCACAGAGAAAGGAGGGCAGAGGGCTCAACCCAGGGGTTAGAGAAACAGACCTCAGGAACTGCTCAGAGCTAGACTGGGAGTGCAGACGGACAGCTAGCTGCCTGCGAGGTGGAGGTCTCCCCGAAAGACCCATACACAAAGCTGCAAGCCACTGAGTTTGTACAAGCCAGGGCGAAGATGCCCAGCTTCCTCAAGTACAGTGACCCTTTGAAATGCGAGTCGCACACCTGTCTTTATCATAAAAGCTCTCTTTCTTGGGCTGGAGAGATAGCTCACCAGCGGATAGTGCTTGCTTCTCTTCCAGAGGCTCAGGTTTGGTTCCTAGCACCCAAATTAGGCAGCCCACAGCCAGATGTAGCTCCAGCTCCACTGATGATTGTAGCCTCTATGAGCTGCCCCCACATACATAGCATACATACAGGTACATATTCACATAAATAAAAAAATTTTCAAATTTAATTATCTTCTAAAAATGTCTAAAAATAATAATTTTATAACCGTTTTAAATGGGCCTGTGTCTTATTAATCCCAACCATATCCCTTGAATATTTTAATCCCACTGTACATATCTGTTTAATATTTTCCTTTGAAGAAATTTATTCCATCTATGTGCAAGATATTTTTAAATTCTAAACCCATCTTTGCATATGTATGGATTGATAACCTCCTTACATTGACTGTTCACACACACACACACACACACACACACACACACACACACACACACCTGCCCCTGGGGCCACAGCTGAGACTAGAGAAGTAGCTGGAGTCAGCATCGTAGGGGAGAGATGGAAGGTGGCAGGCAGTGCAATGACAATGACCATGTGTAACCAGGTGGCAGGCCAGGAGGCAGCTTCTGAGCCACAACGATAGGGATGAGAGCAGAAATCAGCAGACATGGCAAGCATTAAAGACAGAATGGGTTTGACTTTGTGACCCTGGCTGCCCCGGGAGACCCTGGCTTTCTAGCTTGTGTGACTGGGTAAGTGACAGTGCGGTCACGGGTGTTTTTAAAAGCAGAAGCATGGAGCTTGTGACTTTACGGCTTCTTTGGGCTGCTAAGTTGACATATGAGTCAGGAGAAGGGCCCGGGGCAGAGCTTCAGCATCAGGAAGCAACATGTGAATAGTGATCAAATTCACCAGTGTCAGAGACACTCCCTAAAAGGAGCACAGGTCCTAAGAAGCATCCAGGAACAAAACATAGGATGGGGCTTGTCATCTGAGTGGCAGGTGAGAAAGGAATGATCCCATCAACAAGAAACAGCATCTAGAAGGAAGAGAACCAGAGAGAGGAGAAGCAGTAGTGGGAGCCGCAGGGGAGAAGGGCTAAGCAGAAAGGAGCTATGAGAAAGTCAGTTCTGCAGAGCAGCCAGAATGGCCAGGACCAGAAGTGTGACCACAGCAACAAGGAAGAGAACAACGAGAACACCTCCTGCTTGCCTGGCTCTTTGTGCCTCCAAAGCTTGTCCATGCTTCTTAGTTCATCTCATCCACACTATAGCTGGGGAGTATTCTTACAGGCGCAGAGGTCGGAGGGTGCTGCAGTTGAGAGCTTTGTCAGTCAGCTCCTAAGTTAGTGATCCAGCTCCTAAAATTAGAGATTTCAGCCCAGGGTCTTGTCCATGCTCCCTGGTTCTCCCTGTGCCCCACAATGAGGAGACTCGGAGAGGCTGATACAGAGAAGCTGCTTGTTTGTAGTACAGATGGTGGACCATTTGCTTATCACACTTCATTCTGCGCTTCCCAGAACCCAATGACATCAGTACTCTGGCAGCATCTGAATGTAAAGTGTGTTATCTAATTCCTTGTACCTAATTCTACACATAAGCGAGAGCCCTGAGGTTTGCAAACAGAGAGGTGACATGCATTCATGCATGCTTTAGAAAGTTAATTTATGTTATTAGACATCTGGTTGTTGGATACTCACATCACCTGAAATAGAATAAGAAAATAGAGCACAAAGATAAAACCTGTCTGAGGCTTCTTGTGCATCTGCATCCTCCCCCTGCTTTACCTGGCTTACCGTTCTAATAGGTAGACCGTCTTCATAGTGGGGAAGTAAAGGCATCCTGACATTTGGATCAAAAGCGTCTTGATAGATTTGATGAAGTCAGTACTGGCCTTTGGGTCTATCCTCCTACCCCCACGCCATCCAGAGGCTGGCCTGACTATTCAACCGGGGTTTCCTGCTTGCTCATTCACTCCTCAGTCATCCCAACAAGAGAGTGGACTGTTCCCTCTGCTCTGATGGAGCTACTCAACCCAATCAACCCATGTGGGACCAGGCCTGGAGCTCTTCTGCCCCACTCTTCATTGGAAGCAATGTACTGCACCTTTATCTCGGGAGTCCATTGCTCTGATCTCTCTCTCTAAACTTGCTCGTCATTTGTAATGCAAAAGGAACAGCAAACAGAGGTCTCTATACCTCTTGATAATGTTTTGGCCTATTGGTTCAAATGACATCACACAGTGTTGGCACCATGAAGTTTGAACAAGGACCAAGACAGCTGTCGCTGAGCAATGCTGACTGTCTGAAAGTGACTTGCAACCTTATTTCCAGGTGGCAACCTAATTTGGATCTTTCTGCTGACCCATAAACCTGAGCTTCTATGTAGGATACAAGCGTCAGGAATGGCTGGGGGCTGTTGAGATTCTGTGCCATAAACCAGTGATGGCTGGCGGGTTCCTTCCCCTTCAGCCTAGATGTGTTGTTTGTCTTTTCTAAGTTTGCTATGGATGTGGTCCCTTTTCTATGAGCTGCAAATGTCCAGTTACACAAAAAGAATAAAAATGAACAGGGGAAGTGAGTTGTGGTCACAGATGCCCACATTACCACCTATTTGTTGGTATTGCTACAGCGGAAATATCTGTAAATACTAAATATGAAACTCACTCTTAGACTTGAAACATTGGAGCTGTTAGCTTATCTTTGTCGCTTTCAGAATAACTCTAAACAAGTTGCATGCCAATTGTCTTACCTGTCAAAGACATTAATAAAAGATGCAAGTATGTGATAATGGGTCCTCTATTTCCCCTGCTGTAGGTCAGTGCAGCTCAACGGACAGCCCTTAGTGATGGTGGACGACGGGACCCTTCCAGAACTGAAGCCCCGCCCCCTACGAGCTGGCCGGACATTGGTCATCCCTCCAGTCACCATGGGCTTTTATGTGGTCAAGAATGTCAATGCTTTGGCCTGCCGCTATCGGTAAACCACCCTCTGCTTTAGAGCTGCTGGTGGGCCTGCTGGACTGCTTTCCTGCTCTTCCCCCTGTAGCACCCTTAGTCCTCAGCCTCCACTCCCGCTTTGCTGGAGTCAACATAGACTTTCTAAAGAAACTAAACGTCATAGTGTGAGCTTAGCCTAGGTAGGCGGCATCCATCCCTAAGGTAAATGTAGAACTCTCTGTTTCTATGCAAAGAGAACGGTGTGTGTCTGCTGATGCACACCTCACAAACAGGCTGACAGTATCTTCCAGAGCAGTGTTTCCAAACAGCTGCCTGTAGTCCTGATCCCACAGCAATGCAACTGCAAACCCCAAGCCCTAGCCTACCGCTGCTGCTGCCCTCAGCAAAGGATGACGAAGGAAAAAGCAAGGGGGAGCTGCAAATCCAATCCTCCACTAACTCCTCCTTTGTCTGTTTCCTACTGCTGCCTTGGGTTTCCTGACACCTCTCTTCCCATGGGAAGCAAATGGGTGAGTCAGCTCTGGCCTGCTGGGTGAGCTGTTTCTATCATTTCCTGGCTGATGTATGAGTGTGTGCATCTGGGCTTCTGACAATGGCATCCATCACTGGCTATCCCTCTGGGAAGCTGGTGCTTCACAAGTAGAATTATAGTCAGACTCCAAAGTCTGTGAGGTTCTATTCCTCTGTGAATCTAGATTCCCTCCAGCTTGGAATGGGAGTCAGGTAACAATATTCATTGAGTGGAGAGCAATGTATTAGGCTCCACCAAAAGAAATCATCATTCTTCATGTTGCCAGGAGGGAGAGAATTGTAGTACAAAGAAAAAGCACATTGCAACATCAAGTGCATACGCATGTGCTCACAAACGTGTGCACGTACACACATACCAATCTAATAAAGCAATTTAGATCTTTCCCTCAAACTGAAAGGATTTCAAAGACTCAAGATAGTAAGCCCTTAGTTGTTAGATTGACCCAGACCATGTAGAAGAAGACGGCATGAATCAAAGTCATTGTAAGCATGGCTGAACCTTTCCACCTCTTCCCACATAGCTGAGTCTCAGTGGCATTTACTAGGGAGAAAAACCCCTCTGGTCCTCAAAGATGACCAGAGCCATCGTACCCCAGGTGCATGTATTTAAGCATGGTACAGAGTTTTCGGTTAGCTCCACTGAAGGACGGGAATTGGTCTGAGAGCAGAGCTGGCAATGATAGATGGAAGCCTTCCGAGTGGCGCAGGCTAGAGGACCGACTGAAGGCCTGTGGCTGACTTTTATTTGGCTAAGGGAATGGATCTTTGGAAACAAGCTGCACTGCAGTGATTTCTGTGGACAGGACTGACCTCGGGACAGATGACAAGAATGGTGCTGCTTTTACGGAGGAAGAGGATCCTTGACACTCTCCTGGGTGTCAGAAAAGTCAGTGGCACCGTTTCGATGTGAACAGACAGGCCTGGGGAAGAAGCTGAGGCCCATCACTGAGGGGAGCAGCGGGCGTTCCTGAGGTGCCTGAAGACTAAGGATTTGGTCCAGTTGGCAAAGTGAGAGACAAGAGGAAAGTCAGGCTAACAAGATGCCCAATGCTTTTCAGCTTGGAGAGCGGGAAGCCGCCCATCTTAGTTACTGTGAGGAAGACAGTGAGACCAGATTTTGATGTGCTTACTTTCAGTACAGGAGGAGCATCACACGGCAGGTACATTAGGGCAAGCAAGAACAGAAGACTGAGGACGGGCTGGACCCGTCGGTAGTCAGCTTGGAAGCATCTGGAGATGGTGGCCCATGAGTCTTCTCACCCAGCAAGGCTCCCAAGGAGCCTCCCTTCCCAGCCACCTTCTCTGGAAGCTCCAGAACAGAGAGGTGTGGTGATGCTGACGGTAGGGAGGAAGGAAAAGAAGAGAGACAGGTGTGGGCTGAAGTCAGGGAGTGTGGGAAAGGAAAGGAGACAGACAGATGGGTTTTCCTTGAACATGTATCAAAATCTCTTCTAAGTACCTGTCTGAGGGCAACTGCACGGACCCTGATAACAGCAAGGTAACCAGAGGCCCCGAGTGCCAGGCCCTGGGCTAGTTTGCTTTCGTACATAGAAGCCCCATGCTAAAGCACGCTTGCCATCCCCATGGAATGCATGGGGTGGGTCCTTATATTGCCCAGCATCACCCAGTGGAATGTGTATGTTTGAAGAATAATCCAGAATCAGCGTACTTAGTCACCAAGCTCAGTGGCCTTTCATGTCACAGACTCAGCCCTCATCTGGTAGACTCTGCTTGCCCAGGATAGCCAAGACTTCCAGAGCCCGGAGCAAACCCATTTTCTGTAAATAGGTACTGATTCTTCACCAAGCCTTGCAGAATGTAGGTTGTCTTGCTGCTTTTGTCTTTCTCTGTGAATTAAATGCTGTACCCAAGAGGTTGAAGTCTTGTTTGTTTTTGAGCTAATAAAGGGGGAAGAGGGAAGCGCGGGAGTTTGTCCCCAGAGCCTTGCAGTTCTAACTTTCTCGTGGAAGGAGGGTTTGCATTACTCACAGGCCACCAAGACACTAGAACATCACACTCCATGGCAGTTCTGCTTCTGGGCATCTGTCTTGGTGCTCTGGGGACGGGTGGGAGGAACAGTCATTAAACCAGTGATGTTGCACTTGGCTCTTTGCCCTGCTCTTCCTAGGGGCTCTGCCTTTCGCATTCACCCCCCAAAGACAGTCTCCGGTAAATTCAGCTTCACGTCCCAGAGCAGGAGTGCAGGAGGGTGAGGCGGGCGGCTGGAGAAGAAGGAGTAAAGCAACCCTCCGCCAGCTTCTCTGGGTCAGTTTTCCTTCCTCATGCAAGATATGGCAGATCATGAAAGACTTAAGAGCCCTTCTTTTTAAACCAAAGAATGGGCTTGTGGAAATGCGTATTGAAAGAGTAATCACGCATAATGAGAAGTCTGTGCCTTTTGTTGAGATGGTTTTCTGCTCCTCTTGCCTCTAGGAATGATTTTCTTTCTCATTTCTTATCACAAAGCCTCAGAATAAATTCTCATTGTTATTGAGAGAGAAAGTCCCCATTTTTCTAATGCCCTGCAGAAAGCTGCCACTGTGGGATATTAGTATTATCTCCAACTAGAGAAAGGCTTGAAATATCAGACTCAAGCGGGTGTGAGACTAAAGACCAGGGGCTCCCAAACCAGGATTTCTTCTGCAGTCTTCCTTTCCTGCACACGTAGGCCCAAGGAGGGTGGACTCAAAGCCCTGTACTCTGGTGCAAGACAAGGGTAGCTGATAGGGTCTGCCTGAAGGCTGTCCACCCACTTCCAGCATCGGGGTGAGCACTGGGGTACCAGGGCTGTTAACCACTGAGACCACAGCTGGCAGATTCTGGGTCAGACCAGCATCCTCGTCGAGTGTCCTGTAGGCACGGAGACTCGGGCTACAGGCTGTGCCTTGCAAGCCATGGAGAATGGCTTCCTTTCTAAAAACAAAAGTCAGTGCTCGACCTCTGGAGAAGTAAAGACAAGCCAGGTAGATCCCTATGATGGTCAAAACACTGGAACATGAGAGGGCTTCAGTGTTTTGCACCCAAAGTGATAGTGATTTGTCTCGAGAAGGCGAGGAAGGAAGAGCTTCCTCCCAGCCAGCCCTACTGGCCCAGTGTGCTCCCTGCTGGTTGTTTCTTTCCACTAGCCTGCTTTCTAGTTCCACATTCTCCCTTTGGCCAGCCACTCTGTCCCCAAGAGGGATCCCACTTAAGGAAATCTGCTGTTCCAAGACAGAGTAAAAAGTTCAATTTTAGGATTACTTGTGCCCTTTTCTTTGTCTCTATCCATTGGAAAGATAGTAGTATTCCAAACAGAAGCAATGCCAAGGTGACTTATCCTAGTGTAAGGCCCAAACAACCAGAACACTCAGAGCGAAGGAACTGCCCTTCCTTTTGGGATGCCTTCTTCTCGGCACTGTTTAGGCCCTATTGTCACCAGGAGGGTTAGAGAAGGGGCCAACACACCCATCCAGATAAACAGGACAGAACAGACTGAGACCAAGCTCCAAAACTGCTCAGATGACACCCTGCGGTTAACATGATAGCAGCCACCCTATCCTCAACTCCCTGTTGCCCCTGGCTAGCTTTCTCAACATCCTGCACACCTCCCACAGAGAACTCGCTCTCCTGCCTGGACAGCAGCTGACCTCAGGTTTGGAGGAGTCCAGGAGCAGCTTTGTTGTGAGGAGGGCCATGACTAGCCTCTGCATCCAGGCTCACTGTCCTGCAGTGGCCTCCCCACTCAGCTTCTCTGGGTTTCCCTCTAGAACAATCTGAGGACCATTCCCACCACAGTGAGCCAGCTTTATGTGGTGATGTTGGGTATTTCTGCATCCTGGGAGGTCAGTGGCAGAACCAACCAACACTTCCACAGCCCTGTTTCCTCCTCCCCATCACTCAGGTTTGGAAGTCTGCATCTGCCCACACTGAACATGCAAATACTTGCAAATTCCACTCGGAAACATAAGAATAAACCAAGCACATCATCACTACTCTGTTCTAAAAACCAGAGAAGCCCCTATGAGAGCTGGGAGCATTTGGGAGGAGCCCAGAAGTCTCCATCTGACTGGCTCACGAATTCTTCCCACGATTCTGTGAGCCAGCAGTGGAAAGGGTACCCTCTGACAGCCCACAGCAGGAACGTTATTCTTCTAATTATTATTCAGGAAAACATCCGCGGGTTCTTGTTCAAGTTGTGTTATGTAATAAATTATACTGTGGGAAGAACAGGAAGAAAGCTTAATTTTACTCATCTGGAAGCTACCGAAACGAGCGCAGGAGCAGCTCCGGGCGAAGGCTGTGTCTGCAGAGATTCTAACAGCTGTTAATTTTCCCACTCGGAACACACATTAGAGTGTGCTTTATGCAGACCTGGTGGTTGCGGGGAGTTTGAGTCCATGAGGTCGTTTTTATTTTCAGGTTAATATTTTGTGAGAAATAAAGCATGGCTACTTTAACTTTCTGTTGTCAGGGTGTTCTGTCCGGGAGAAGAAGGCAGCGGTTTTCCACACCTGGAACCTAAGTCTGACTGTGTGAACACTAACACACCCTGGGGCCTTGGACTTCACGGTGTTGTCCTCCTGCCCTCCCCAACAAGCTTTGCCTCAGCCATAAGAAGCAGAAATTATATTTCACAAATCAAGTTAGATGTCATTGATTATAATAATATGTAAATTTCATAATCTTGGTGGCTATCGTGACCAAGACTTAGTTCTTGTTCATAACTCACCTAAAGTTCAGCTGGTGGCGATGCGATGGGCAGTGGCTGTGTTCCTTACAGTCACTCACATCCAGACCCACTGCCATCCTTTGCTCAAGGCTCCTGAGGGTACCAGTGGGTTGCTGACAAACAAGGAGAGAAAGCATGTAGGCTCAGGTGAGAAGGTTGAGAGGTTAGGAGACTGACCTGGCACTAGCGGGAACATCCCTTCCGCTCAGTTCTGCTGACCCATCTAGGAATAAGATGTAGAAAATAAAGTCTTTGTGTTAGTCATGATGAAATGATGGGACTTTAGGGAACTTAACATTAAATAAATTAGGTATTTGCAGCTTAAATAAAAAATTAAATAAAAAAGGTAAAGAAAATAAAGTCCTTGTCTAGGAAGCCATTTTCCTACCTCTGCTGGGCAGAAATGAAACACAAAACACTGAAGAGTGCTGGGAGACAGGGGATGCATCAACGGCCCAGCTCCCACAGCTGGTTTGCTATCAAGAGACTCTCACTGCTGGGATGGTGACATCGAAATCCACAGTGACTTAAATGAGCTTTCTTCTCCACCTGCCCCACTCCTCGAGTTGTGACAGTCCTGGTTTGATGTGGGAGTGTCATAGATCAATCTGTTGATTTCATTGGTTTAGCAATAAAGAAACTGCTTGGCCTCTGATAGGACAAAAAATTAGGTAGGCGGAGTAGACAGAACAGAATGCTGGGAGAAAGAAGCTGAGTCAGGGAGTCGCCATGATTCTCCTACCTGACACAGACGCAGGTTAAGATCTTCCCTGGTAAGACACCTCGTGGTGTTACAGGGATATTAGAAATGGGTTAGATCGATATGTAAGAGCTAGCCAATAAGATGCCAGGCAGTGTTTAAAAGAATACAGTTTCCGTGTAATTATTTGGGGGCATAAGCTAGAGCTAGCCATGTGGGCGGCCGGGTGCTGGGGACGCAGCCCCGCCGCTCCTATTACAACACTGGTTCATAGCTCGTTTTTATCAGAACAGTCTGCATTGTTCCATGCCTGTCCACTAGTGAACACCGGTACTGGATGCTGTGCCCTCTACTGGACATATCTAATTTAAAAACCTAAGTAATGTGTGATGTTTTCTGGAAAGATCTAACAAGGTCAGTTCAGCCAAGACAAGGCATCAACAACAGATCAAAGAAATGATTCCCTCAAAGTCTAGCTTAATGTGCCAACGAATTGAAGGGGTGACATCCAGAGCATGGGCAACTAACGGGCAAGTGCATCACAGAAAGCACAACCCAGCCAGAGAGCAAGCCCTGAAGGCAGCCTCCCTAGGAGGCAGTGACACCTAAGTCTCCCACCCTAGCTTTTATAACCTTGGGGAGGAACCGTGGGAATCCTATAATCTACTGACCTTCCTAAGGCTTTTAAGTTTTGTGAACTTGAACCTCACAAACCCCTCCTCCCACCAAAAAAGAACATTTCAATTGAGAAGAAGGAGCTCCCCAACAAGTCACAAAGTGGGCAAGTGGGGCACTGGAGACCCAGAAGCCAGGCCCACATCCAGAGACCATGGCAGCTCTGCTTGACTTACTGTTCAGACTCTCTGGCCCTCAGAGTCCTCACCTATAAAATGATGACTTTGAGTTAGGTGTTCATGGAAGCATGAGGACCAGAGTGTGGATCTCCAGTCAGGAGCAGTCACGTGCCTGTAACCCCAACAGGGCAGAAGCAGGAGGTGCTCTGGAGTTGGCTGGCAGCCAGTCTGACCAAAAGGTGGCAAATTCCATGTTTAGGGAGAGACTTTATCTCAGGAGAATAAGGGGCAAAGGATGGGGCAGGACAAACAGCGTCATCTTCTGGCCTCCCTCTGCACGTGCACATATGGGCAACCCCTACACACACACACCACATCTACCACACATACATACACACACATCCACACAGACAAATTGGAATGTATGATGATCAAATGTTCTCCTGGTCCATTAAAATAGATTAGACTGAATTACATCAAAACTGAAAACCCTGACACTTCAAATGACCCCATTAAGAAAGAGGTAAGGCCAGGGAGATGTCTTCATTGGAAAAATGCTTGCCTTGCAAGTGCAGGAACCTGAGTTTAATCCCTAAAACCCGCACTAAAATCCAGATGAGGTGACCTGTGTTTGGAATCCCAGTGCTAGATCCTGGA